AGGATAGGATCTATCTATCGTACGATAGATCTCAAAATTCATGTTACCCTGACAATTTTTATGACACTTGATTATCAAGTTTTGTATACTAAAACACTACACGAAAATTATGATAAAACTTCGCACATTCTGTTGTAAATTTAAGATTTAAAAACGAGCGTCTGGCAAGTTAAGAAAGCGTCGAGTCCCTCAACATCACGTCTCCTTCCACAAGCACACTTTCTCACAGCTGTCATTGTTATCAGAATGCGGAAACTGGTGGCCCAGCGATAAGGGTGGTCGTGTACATGAAGTGGGTAATAAGGTACATTAATGTGGCGGGTGGTGATGAGGGCGAGCCGTCTCCCCCTACCCCTCACCTACCTACCATCCTCCTCTCCACCTCTACCCCCTGGAGGGTCTACCCATCCTCCTCTCCACCTCCTACCTCCTGGAGGGTCTACCCATCCTCCTCTCCACCTCCTACCTCCTGGAGGGTCTACCCATCCTCCTCTCCACCTCCTACCTCCTGGAGGGTCTACCCATCCTCCTCTCCACCTCCTACCTCCTGGAGGGTCTACCCATCCTCCTCTCCACCTCCTACCTCCTGGAGGGTCTACCCATCCTCCTCTCCACCTCCTACCTCCTGGAGGGTCTACCCATCCTCCTCTCCACGAGCACTGTCCAGCAAGATAAATATTCCTCTCTCTAGCTACCCTTTTTTCCACCTTGCCATGGATATCGTCAGCAACTTTCACACTTCCGTTCCGCATTTGTCGAATATGCTTTAGCATTGGCAACGAGCAGAGAGAACTGGGTACTGTGTACGAGAGGGGGTTAGTGTTGAATAACAGGGTCAGTAGCCAACTCATTACCTCGACCTTCTCTCTCTCCCCCCAACACCCTTACACTACACTTCCTCTTCCCCTCACACCCACCTCCGGTTACCACTCCTCCCTATCCAACGCAATTTCACCTTCCGGTTTGATATATACAATTCAAGCCCAACTTTTGTGCTCAAAAGTTTCTAACGTTTCTTCAAGCAGTTGTTCTCTCATACTCATATAACCTACGTCATTATCACTAGTGCACACAGCCTTAGTAGTGAAGAGACTTGGCGTCTAGACAGTGACCTGCTGGCTCCCGGCAGCTCTACGCCAACATTAATAATGCCAAGGTTAACCACTTGTATCTAAGGTTATTGCTAACTCGCATCAGACCCACCCCCCCAAGGAGGAAGTTCAAGAAAGGAATAGGAAAGGGTATAAACGGTATACTGTGAATCTTTTGCCCTACAAATGTCTTATCTTAACTTCGCCATCGCAGACTGCCCAGCGTACTCTTACCAACCTTATAAAGATGATTCACCAGTTCCCTTAGTCCTAAACGCCATAGTCAGCTCCGCTACTGTTTAAATTCACATGAGCGAGTACAGTTTAACAATGACGTTGGACCAAGAAAGTTTGAAAATTGAGAGAGAACACAGATAAGAGAGTACAGACATGTGGACTACAGGAAATGAGAGAATTTATGTCCAGGAAGTGTTCAAAAGTTCATCCTACTCAGGAAGGAAGTTGAAGAGAAGAGCAAGGTAAACCAATGGTTAATAGACAAAGCAAAAAGGCCAAAGAGACTTGGGAGAAAGCACAGACTACTGGGAATAAGTAAATAGAGAAGCACTAGCCCCCCCCCCCCAAAAAAAAAAAAAAAAAAAAAAAACAATGAGTGCAGGAGTCAAGAGCCTTGCAGAGCACCAATTTGAAAATGAAAAAGAAAACCAAAGAATTTAAAAACTTGCAGTTACATGACAAATGAGTACATGATGGGGTCGAGGAGACGCACACTTATGGAGTGACAGTGAGATTTGGTAAGCAAAGGTATGAAAAGAATATGAAAGACTCAAATGGAAGTAGAGTGATTCTAACACCAGAATCACACACAAAACAGGTTAACATCAGTAGCAGATGGGAAAGTGGTAAATATAACAACAGCAAGGCAATTTTCACTTGCACTTTTTCAATAGTGCTCATACAGTGTTGCAACCCATCCTCTTGTTTAGATAGTACCTATTGTGACAATTGTCATGTCAGAATTTATACATTTTCTTAATATACCGACTAGTAAAGAATTTGTAAAATGAAGCTATAACAAACAAATATTCCTAGGCCTAGTACAGCATACACATGTACTATATTAGGCCTCATATCATGTATTAGGCCTAGGGAGGTTAGGATAGGTTAGTTTAGTTTGTCAAAGCAACACAAGTAAAAAATAATTTTCCCCAGTTTGTCCAAATTTGTTCAGACTTCTACATTCTAATTTTGTTGTACGTCGGTATATATATACTATGGTGCTCATCGTTACTATGCCGGACCAACCGGGCTGTGGTGGGTATGTGGGCCTGCGGGCCGCTCCAAGCAACAGCCTGGTGGACCAAACTCGCACAAGTCAAGCCTGGCCTCGGGCCGGGCTTGGGGAGTAGAACAACTCCCAGAACCCCATCAACCAGGTATCAACCAGGTACTACAAGTACAGTACTACCAAAACAGGAGGACGGGCTGCATTATTCTGATGCTGTATGCTCGTCCAACAAATCAGGGGAGAGTTCCCGCTTGTTTTACCTAACCGTGGCCTAAACCCAAGCACAAACACACGAGTGCACCCTCATGAAGCCTCAAAGTATGACTTGAGGAAACATGGAAGGAGAGAGATGGTTCCCCCTCTCAGCAAAGCCAGAAATGTTGGCACCTCTCAAAGAGTTATGACGACTGCTGTTACCTAGCAGTAAAATAGGTACCTGGGAGTTAGTCAGCTGTCACGGGCTGCTTCCTGGGGGTGGAGGCCTGGTCGAGGACCGGGCCGCAGGGGACACTAAACAAAAGCCCCAAAATCATCTCAAGATAACCAAGATAACCCTGATCAGACACTGGGCCACAGGGACGCTGATCTCAATAGATCTTTGTATGCAATATTACGATACACAAAACTAATAAAGTGTCGCATCAAAACTGATGTGTTCAGCACCACACAAACACATATTGCAAACAAAACCAATGGAGCAGGTTTTAGGCAGTCGAGGAAAAAAAAAACATTAACTGTGATGTCATGATTATGAAATGCTGGAGCTGAGAAAATGGCCCCGAGGTAGATGCGAGTGATGGTGTGAATGTGTGTGCAACTTTTTTATTTTTTTATCCTGTGACCAATAAAGATGACAAGTCTCTTTGTAACCCCCCCCCCTCCCCAGCCATTTCAAATTGAAGGTAACCTAACAAATCAATACTGCACTTATAAACGAAAACAAATTTTATCACACACACAATTCACTTATTAAAATACTTTCAACATTGTTATTAACCACTTTACATCAATACCAACACAACACCCAATCTCACACAGCAACAAATCCTCATCCTTGAAAATATGCAAGTTCACAATATCTCGCATGATCATTACCCAACAGTAACTCTGTAATGCCACCAACAGTTTAACAGGGCCATATAGCAACCAACAATCAGAATTATTGTTCACTTATGGCAACTATAACAAATACAGTCACAAGCCTACCTATAATTAGGTTCCTTAACACAGATTTTTTCCTTCAGATTTCCAAATCAGATTAAAAAAATATAAACTAGTAATGAAGCAAATATGAAGAAACAAAATATTACTTATCATTCTGTCAAGAGACAATAAGAAGAGGGACGTGATATGACTGACACTACCTCAATGTGACAGACAAGCGTAAACAATCCAGTCCATAAAAGAACCTGTACAAATATATACAACTTGACTATAGTTTTAAGGACCAACACAACACTTTATGAGGTAGGCTAAGCCTATGTTTACAAAATATCCGATTAAAGAACATGAAGTGGTACAATGGTGGGACGGCATGCAATATGGGAGGGGAAGGGGTGGGGTGCCAGGCACTAGGAAAAGGAGAGGCCAGGAAGGTAGGAACTGAGGGGGGAGGGGGAAGGGAGGAGGCAGGCAGGCACTTGAGGGGTAAAGAGAGGGGGGAGGCAGGAGCTCAAGGGATAAAAGGGGAGAGGCAGACAGGCATCAAGGGTAAAGGGTGAAAAACCACACAGGCACTGAGGGGTAAAAGGGAAAAAAAATATGCAGGCGCCAAATGGTAAAAGGGAGGCAGGCTGGCGCAGAGGATGGAAAGAGGGGAAGACGACGGACACTGAGGAGGGAAAGAGGGAAGGAAGGGGAGGTAGGGGGGTGGGAGGGGGGAGAAAAATGCAGCAAAAGACTAAGTAAGGATGCATGTAGAAGGGGTTTTGTACAGAAGTGATGTAAACCATGTTATGTTCAGACTTCAAAAAAGTCCATCCTGATTAGGAAAGTCAACAAGAACTCTTGCCCCTGAGAAACATTTATTGCATCTTATCAGTAGGGGCGAAATAAAAATGACGAAAACTTCTGAACAATGATTATTCAACCTCTCGGCAGAAAAAGAAAAAAAAGTCGGAACCAAGGTTGAGGTCGCCAAAGAAAATTAGACCAGTTCCAAGACATGCCTGATAGCCGGGTCGTTTGCAGGCCTGCAGGCAACAACCAGAAACACGAAACTAATCAAGGTATCGTTACTGTCGCCTGCCCTTGGGCAGGGTTGCGAGAGTATGCAAACTTTTTTTTTTTTAAACTAACCAGTCAAACCAGTTAAGCAATTACCCTATGTCTAAGAATGTACTTCAGAATCTCATTAGCTTTACAGTAGACAGTCACATCCAAGACTTAAAAGATAAATTACAAGTAGTACAGTATTGGTCTAGGTAATGCGTTGAGCTTAAGCTGAAAGGACGCAAAGCAAATATAACCCGGTATTAAGCATGATGCTTATAATCAATTAAGCAGGTCTACACTATCTTCTTCAGGAGTCCATTTACCGTACTTACCAGTTCACCCAACCTGCAGATTGTTCATTACAGTAAATCTACCCTTCATAGTGTCTTTCTTTCCTTACGTACCAACAAAACTACAGGTATACCGAGTGCAAGTACAGTACTCACCACAAATTTTAAGAGGAGCTTCCAATTCCAATAGGATAGGTTGAGAGAGAAAGATTTCTCTGGATTTTAAGCAGAGACCACGAATTTCATTTTCTGTCAACTGGACATTCTTTCCAGGCCGAGATCCTCGCACTGAAAAGAAAAGACAAGAGAAAACTTAAAATTCCACAATTATTCTGTCATTTATGCAAGTTAGTAAATTGCTAACAGCCTCAACTTGCACAATATAAAATGAAGATGCGCTCAAAAGTTAAGTTTACTTATGCAGGTGCAACACAGCTTCGTACAATAACCTAAAGGCAAATATCTATTTTTTAAATACACAGTATTGGCTTAGTGCCTTTTCATAAATTACCTCAACTTCCCTGTCTTAATCCCATTGTGCAAGTCTTACTCGACCATGGAGGCCTGGTCAAGGACCGGGCCGCAGGGACACTAAGCCCCGAAATAAAAAAAACTCATCAAGATACCCTCCCATACTAACATTCATGCCTTTCCCTTGTTCTTATTCACCTCCCTTATCATGGGTCTCTTAAACATCACTGATTTCACCTTCCATACTCCCATTTGTACCAAATACTCCCCTCCCCCCCCAAAGGCTTTATAATTTCCCAATTCAAACATCTCTTTCTAAATCATAATCTTACAATTCAAATTGGTAAATCTTGCTACTCTTTAGTGATCTACATAATTACAGTATCACATTCCATTTTCTCAAACACCACAACCCTACTTTTTTTACATTTTTCATTATACAGTACTGTAATTCCTTCTCTGGCACACATTACCAAACTCGCACACTATCTTCTGCAGTGCTTCCTCACACTCTACATGGACGTATCAATTAATCCCAGTTACAATCCACTCCGATTGTTATTTTTGCTTCCCTAACTAATCCATATAAATATTAAGAACCAGGGAGACATCCCTGATTCTTACAACAGTAAAATCCTCTACTATAGTCATAGTCTCATTCATGCTTTGCTATTCATATTAAATCATTTATTGCACTTAACCCTTAAACGACGCAAAACATACATATACGATTTGACACATCAATTTTTAAAACTTGCACACTTTCCAATTTTTTGTGCATAATCAACTCTGCAAATGCTCCAACTTTGTCACTTGATCGCCAACATAACTTGAAAAAAAAAGAAAAAAAAATCTAAAATTGAATATTGAAAACTTCACATTTTCAAATCCGATTAAAAAATATATAAACTATCACCAATTGTTCATTTGGTGTTATGCTCTCAGAATAGCATATGATCTTCATCAAATTAGAATATAGGTTGTCGGTATACTTAACTATAAAAAAATAGTCAAAACGGCATTTGAAATATGCGGCAAATTTAGACAAAGAAAAAATGTACAACTGCAAACATTTGAAGTTTATGAAAAATCCATTCTCAAGGGACTGTAAAACAGACAGCTGAGCACACTGTCAAAATGGTAAAGAATACATAAAGAGATCAAAGAAGATACTGGAATTTTGGAATTTTAAAAGCCACTCCGAGTTGAAACTCTAGTTTTAGAGATAACCGAAGTTGAAGTTATCGACAATGAATAAAGGTAGTTCGAATTCGTTAATTTACTTTTATATTTTATTAAATTTTAACTAAAGATAATGTCTAACTACTCAGTACTTTGCTATATTACTGCATCAAGATAATGCACAAAAACTTGAACATGGCTTATTGGATGGAGTAAATTGTTAATATGGAAACTCAGTTGTAAATAATGATACATACTAACACAGCATTATCACTGACAACACCATGAGTTACCATTTTTACAACACAGTATTACAGAAGCGTTATATATCAATCCAGCTAGCTTTTGTCAATAGGTTGGGTACCACAAAATCATTCAAATTAACCTAAAAGTATAAAAAAAAATAGTGAAACTATGTTATTAAAAGTTGGCTCTACTTGTATGCCAGTACTGTACTTTTTTTAACGGGATTGTTCTGGGAAACTATTTGCATAAAACGTTTACAAATGTTGTGCATCATCATTTCTTTGCACATCTCACCCAAAGTATTATGAACCTAAAGAACCTTTACCCATGTCTTGCCTTCAGCTACTTCTAACATTCTTGGCATACTGTATATAATTTGTTCAAGAGTTCAAACCATGTCATCCAGCAAGAGTGGTATTAGTGGACAGGGTAGGTAGGGATTTTGAGAAACTACCTGACCATTCATAAAAAGTTAGTCGTAGAAAAACTAGAATGTAGAATAGCGGGCAAGTGACAGGATTATGACACCGGCAGTAGTAGTTTTATGTACAGTAAATAAAAAAGAAACAAGAAATCACTGAATTTGTCTGCAAGAGGTAGAGGGCTTATCGGTAAAGGTTCTGTCTGCCATCGATCACCACGCTTCTTTGGTCGTTCATCACTGTCAGTATCACTTAACTCTCTGCACAGAGCTGTGGTGGTGGGCGACAAACATTGAAGCTTCATCTAAATATGAGCAGTTGGACGATGAAGTGTAGGGTTCACACACACACACACACATATGTATATGGTGGGGATGCCTCTTTTTGACCCACAAATTGAGTAGTGAAAAAAATGACATTTACCATTGGCACCGAGGATTTCAGTCAGTGCATAATGGCCCCAGAAATTTAACACAGCTTTACAGGAGACTATTATAATCACTGAAAATTATTTTCAAATATTGTACTTAAAAGATCTCTAAGAGGTCACAACCCACCAGCTGGGAACCATTGCTCTATATATCTTAGAACAAATAACAGTACCCTTTATTTGGCAGCATGATACAAAGAGAACAACAGTACGAATTGACAGTACGTCTTAATACCTAGTGTAATAAGTACATTTCCTGACTGTTATACTGTACATAGTACATAATTGCATTTATGGGGCTGTCACATTTACCTCCCCATTTTTAGAGGACGGGCTGCATTTTTTATTTAATAATAATAATAAGATTTTATTTAGGAAAAGTACATACATACATAGATGCAGAGTTACAAACATTTTGATTAATTTATAAATAGAGCTAGTACATACAATACCTAAGGCCATTAGTACGAATAGCGTTTCGAGCAACCGAAATGACCTACAGATGTGCCCAAACTTAATCAAATCTACTGTACAAGAAAACTACCCGATGCACATAAATTGGGTATTACAGTACCAGGAAATGGTAGTGTGGCAGACACTGAAGGAACACCAAAAATCAGGTTGCAAACACTAACAGAAGTAAACATCAGAAGCAACTATGGTAAGAAAATGTATGCAGCAATGAAGCCAAAGGTGCAAAATTGAGTCACACCTCCAAAAAAAAAGCTGGAAAATGCCAAACAATTGGTGCACATCACCACACCATTTTTTTAACAAATTGAAGACTTTCCATCACAAGGTCTCAATTGACAATAAGAATTGTTACAATACCTAAGGCTTAGATTTCAAAAGGAACAGATATTGACAAATAAATACAATGACATTTTAGTTTCTTTAAGACATAAATGGTGTAGAAGATGAGATAACCTGAGAGTATGAAATGTATGAAGAAAAGCAGAAGAATGAACTGCACTCCCCCAAAAACACATTCTATTGCCTTTTACACACTAACATACCTTAATCTATCACATGAGCACCCCACCCCCATCAACACACCGCCAGTTGCCAACACATTACCTACCATGCCCCCCCCCCAAAAAAAAAAAACATTCTTCACAGCCATACAACACCCCCCCCTCCCAAACCAACACACCCCCTCACTTCCACACACACACCTGATGGGCCTCACAGCCGAGTGTACAATGCTCGAGATTTGTAGTCCTAAGCAACCAGTAGTCCTAAGGAAGAGTTAAGAGCTCGACTCCCACGAGCACAACTAGGCGAGTACACCCCCTTACTGCCATACACCCCCCCCCCAAACACCCTCACTGTACCCCCCCTTCCCCACCAAAACACCCTCACTGTACCCCCCCTTCCCCACCAAAACACCCTCAGTGCACCCCCCCCACCAAAACACCCTCCTCACTGCACCTTCCACCAAAACACTCACTGCACCCCCCCCCCCCCCCCCGCCACCAAAACACCCCCACTGCACCCCCCCCCCTGATCAACATTCACCTCACTGCCCTACACCTCTCCCCTCCCTCCACTAACACACCCCTTATTGCATGCTTGATGGGGTTCCGAGTAGTTCTACTCCCCAAGCCCGGCCCGAGGCCAGGCCAGGCCCCGCCCAACACACTTTATCCACCGGTGCTTCAGTGGATAAGGGAGTATCTAAGCAACAGGAAACAGCAAGTGGGGGGGGGGGAGACATCAGAGTGGCGAGGTGTCATCAGTGGTGTCCTACAGGGCTCTCTACTTGGACCCACCTTGTTTCTATTATATGTAAGCAATCTTCCAGAGGGTATAGACTCATTCCTCTCAAAGCTTGCCGATGATGCAAAAATTATGAGAATAATCAAGACAGATGAAGATAGCCAGAGACTACAGGACAACCTGGAGGAATGGTCTAGAAAATGGTAAAGTTTAACTCGGGAAAGTGTAAAGTAATATAATTAAGCAAAAGGAGCAGGAGGCTCCTTTTGATGTGAAATCCTCCAAGTCAAATAGAGCGAAAGATCTGGAGGTTGATATCACACCGAACCTGTCCCTAGATGCCCACACCAAAAGGATATCAGCAGCATATGCTAGATTTTCCAATATAAGACCTGCCTTTAGAAACATGTGTAAGGAATAGTTCAGGACCTTGTATACCACTTATGTCAGACCAATCCTAGAGTATACAGTTCCAGCCTGGAGTCTATACCTAGTTAAACACAAGACAAAGTTAGAGAAGATTCAGAGGTTTGCAACCAGACTAGTCCCAGAACCGAGAGGTATGAGCTACAAGGAAAGGCTATGGGAGATAAACCTCGCCTCCCTGGAAGACATGATAACCACATACAAAATTATGAGGGTAATTGACAAAGTTAAACAATATTTAGCATCAGTGGAACACAAACAAGGGGACACAAGTGGAAACTTGGTACCCAAATAAGCCACAGATACATTAGCAAGATTTTTTCAGTGTCGGTAGTTAACAAATGGAATGCATTAGGCAGTGATGTGGAGGCTGTCTCATACAAAGTTTTGCATGTAGATTTGATAGAGCCCAGTAGGCTCCAGAATCTGTACACCGGTTGATTTAAAGTTAAGAGGTGGGACCAAAGAGCCAAAGCTCAACCACCGCAAGCACAACTAGGAGAGTACCCCTTACTGCCCTACACTCACCAACACCCTACACATACACACACACCAACCAACACCCTACACACCAACACCCTACACCTTAACCTTGGCCACTTGGGGGGTTTCTCCCGCAGCAGCAGCTTGCCAACCCTTCACACCCAGCAGGGTGTACCACCGCCCAGCCACCACCCAGCAGGGTGTACCACCGCCCAGCCACCACCCAGCAGGGTGTACCACCGCCCAGCCACCACCCAGCAGGGTGTACCACCGCCCAGCAGGGTGTACCACCGCCCAGCCACCACCCAGCAGGGTGTACCACCGCCCAGCCACCACCCAGCCACCACCCAGCAGGGTGTACCACCGCCCAGCCACCACCCAGCAGGGTGTACCACCGCCCAGCCACCACCCAGCCACCACCCAGCAGGGTGTACCACCGCCCAGCCACCACCCAGCAGGGTGTACCACCGCCCAGCCACCACCCAGCAGGGTGTACCACCGCCCAGCCACCACCCAGCAGGGTGTACCACCGCCCAGCCACCACCCAGCAGGGTGTACCACCACTCAGCAGTCACCTGTGTACACTCCACACATACAGTCTGCCTCTCGCCACTTTCTACCCTCGCACACCTGACTACAGCCGCCCCTGGTCGCCGCCCCTGGACGCCGCCCCTGGTCGCCGCCCCTGGTCGCCGCCCCTGGACGCCGCCCCTGGTCGCCACCACAGCCGCCCCTGGTCGCCACCACAGCCGCCCCTGGTCGCCACCACAGCCGCCCCTGGTCGCCACCACAGCCGCCCACCAGTCACCACCACAGCCGCCCACCAGTCACCACCACAGCCGCCCACCAGTCACCACCACAGCCGCCCACCAGTCACCACCACAGCCGCCCCTGGTCACCACCACAGCCGCCCCTGTCACCACCACAGCCGCCCCTGGTCACCACCACAGCCGCCCCTGGTCACCACCACAGCCGCCCCTGGTCACCACAGCCGCCCTCGTCACCACCACAGCCGCCCCTGGTCACCACAGCCGCCCCTGGTCACCACTGCCGCCCTGGTCACCACAGCCGCCCACCAGTCACCACAGCCGCCCCTGGTCACCACAGCCGCCCCTGGTCACCACAGCCGCCCCTGGTCACCACAGCCGCCCACCAGTCACCACAGCCGCCCACCAGTCACCACAGCCGCCCATCAGTCACCACAGCCGCCCATCAGTCACCACAGCCGCCCCTGGTCACAACAGCCGCCCACCAGTCACCACCACAGCCGCCCCTGGTCACCACAGCCGCCCCTGGTCACCACAGCCGCCCCTGGTCACCACAGCCGCCCACCAGTCACCACAGCCCCCCCTGGTCACCACCACAGCCGCCCCTGGTCACCACAGCCCCCCCTGGTCACCACCACAGCCGCCCCTGGTCACCACAGCCGCCCACCAGTCACCACAGCCGCCCCTGGTCACCACCACAGCCGCCCAACGGACCGTAGTTTCACCACAAACTTTTAGACCCGGGTCCGAGTCCTCGGACCAAACACTCCCAACCACACCAAAATGCCGCTCTAATTACACCACACACCTTCAAAAAACACGCCAACACTACCCAAACACACGTACCAAACAAAAATCCAGCCAGAAACATTTCGGAACACTTGAAAAATACACTAGATGTATATTTATATATATACTGTATGTATAAGAAAAAAAAAGAGGTCCGACCCCCTTTTCTTACCTTCTAATAATCTGGCAATTATGGTGTCTATATTAAGCTTATCGGTCTCAGCCATGGTTCAAGGGTTCACACAGTTCACTTTACGCGGATTCACAGCGGCGGATCGTGCACAGAGAGGCGGATGATCGCGGATATCGGGGAGCGCGGAGAACCACCGGCCCAACCCCATAGAGTGCTCAAGATGGCAGCCGTAACCGACGTCACCGCTTCAAATGACCGCTGTTCCAACACTCTTCCCGGGCCCGCCACACTCTTTTAAAACCTTATAAATACCCTCCGTTTGCCTCTCTACCGGCGTTTTTGGTTAGGTTAGGTTATTGAGGGGTGTCTAAGGAGGTGCGTGCTAGGCGAGAGTTGGGGTAAATGTGAGGTGGAAGGGGGGGGAGGGGTTGGGTTATTAATGGTAAGGCCGCCGCAGGTAAGAGGGTGATTTTGGGGGGGTGGTGCGCGCGCAGGTGGCGGCCTGCTGTGGCGGGAAGGTTGAATGTTGTGGCGCGCGCTTTTTCTGTCTTGTTGGGCTCTCTGGCTCTCCTGTCTTGTTCGTCGGCTCCTGTCTTGTTGGACTATCTATCTTCTGTTTTGTTGGACTTCCTCTCACCGTCTCGCTCTCCTGTCTTGTTGGGCCCTTCGGCTCTCCTGTCTTGTTAGACGGCTCCTGTCTTGCTCTCGTGTCTTGTTGGACTATCTATCTCCTGTTTTGTTGGACTTCCTCTCTCCGTCTCGCTCTCCTGTCTTAGACAGTTGGACCTCCTTGCCCCGCCGCTCTCACATCCTCACCTCTCTCACGCTCAACATTACTTTATGTTCAGTCCCTGACCGTCCAAGAGGTTGGGCACCTTCCCCCCACCCCACCCCACCCCACCCCACCCCTACCCCAGTCACAATCCTTATCCTGTTCCCTTGCAGGTGATATATAATAGTGGCGGCTTGGCGCTTCGTCCTGATAATTCACTTCTCAACATTATGATATCTCACTCTTAAATACACACTAATTCATTTCATGACTATTTGATAGCATATTGAGTACAAGTTTTTTGTTATCTATTCAGACAATGTTGTTCTGTTGACTGTACAGGCCTACTTGTATTCTGAATTAGTTGCATGACGAAACAATTTGTTATTGAAAGTAATAACTTCAATATGAACTTTCTTTTTTTAAAGAGTTGATGCGTGCAAGAGTCACCTTGGCAAGAGGGTGGTGGCCCTCGCTCTTGGCACACTGATCTTACTTAGTTCATCTACTCTTAGCCAAAACCTGCACCGAGGATTTTATATAAAACCTTCTTATATTTTTTTGGTTTAGAGACAAGGATCATTTGAAAGAATTGATCTAGTTTAATTTAGTTCATTTATACACACCGCAAACTCATTGCCCATTGTGATACCTGTGTTTATCAAGTACTTTAGTACATCTATGTTTTAGAAGAGTATCCAAATCTTAGTCTTGCTGTGTGACACCGTTTGTTGACCTCATATAGGTTATCACGAAGTATCAATTATATCTTGGTCTTGCTCTGTGATATCATTTATCATAAAGCCTAGATTTACGTGTTGTTATCAACCGTGTTCGGGTGCAGCAGTAATTGGGGAATAGATCTAGTAGAAAATCGTCTTCCAGGGGAAATTAGTAAGGTAAGGCTTAAGGTAAGCTGTGGGGGAAGGGAAAGCTCTCTAAGCCTGCTGACAGGAGTTTAAAATCATCTGATCCTGTACCCACATGTGTACAAAACAATGTACATAAATCCACAATCGACTTGAGAATGGTCCAGGACGGACCGAAACGTCGTCGTCCCTTCACCTTCTAGTGTGTGGTCTGGTCAACCAATGTACATACTTACTTATTACGGGCTATCCCCCCCCCCCCGCCGGGAAGCAGCCCGTAGCAGCTGTCTATCTCCCAGGTACCTATTTACTGCTAGGTAACAGGGGTGTCAGGGTGAAAGAAACATTTTGCCCATTTGTCTCCGCCTCCACCAGGGATCGAACCCGGAACTTCAGGACTACGAATCCGAAGCGCTGTCCACCCAGCTGTCAGGCGTGTGTGGGTGTGTCACCAATTTTGTTGCAAACATGTTTTCAATTTTGGCTTTATGCCAGTTTCGGCGCCCTTGGTCTTATTTTGCTTTATATCGTAGCCTTGGCCTTATTTTGGTTTATTATTTATTTATTTATTTATTTATTTATATATATACAAGAAGGTATATTGGGATTGTGAGGATACATAGCATAGTAATTACATTCTTGTAAAGCCACTAGTACGCGCAGCGTTTCGGGCAGGTCCTTAATCTAAGAAATTTATAAGTAGGTAAAATACTTGCAAAATTTATAAAAATGATAACAGTTTATATCGTAGCCTTGGCCTTATTTTAGTTTATATCGTAGCCTTGGCCTTATTTTAGTTTATATCGTAGCCTTGGCCTTATTTTAGTTTATATCGTAGCCTTGGCCTTATTTTAGTTTATATCGTAGCCTTGGCCTTATTTTAGTTTATATCGTAGCCTTGGCCTTATTTTAGTTTATATCGTAGCCTTGGATTTATTTTAGTTAAGAATCATAGAGACATATAATTGACAGTTTGATGTTATTTTAGGATATTCAATTGAAATGTAATGTCGACAGTAGAGACGAGCTTTCAAATTATAGCCTAAACCCTTTTCGGATTGTCGTGTATGAAATATTTTCACCGTTTTAGGATCAGGCATACTTGTGTAAAGGAGGAAATGTATATGTTTATCTCTCAGAATGTTCGGTAATATGTTTATTGTTTGTGATGTGTGTGTCTATGTATATATTAACACGATGTACTGAACGGGGGTGAGAATAGCTCGAGCTGCCTCATCCCTTTGTGTGTATTTTATCTCAATAAACTTATTTCAATTTCAATTTTAGGACAAGGGATGATGACGGGGCGTGAGGAGTAATTCGGGCAGCAGCTAGAGTGCCAGAATGAGCCTCGCTGGTGTTTGAAACTGGCGCTGTATAACGAGGTCAGGGGAACAGCCATCTTGGTATGCGTGAAACATTAAGTTGACTATAGTAAGGAATTACATGAAGGATTTACAGGTGACGCGTGATTATACGTACCGGTTTAGGGATAAAGACAGTTGATACCTGTGGGATGTGTTTCAGCCCCGCTCCTGTGCCAGGTTAAGTCTACTACGGGCTCACCATAGCCCGTGCTACTTGGAACTTTTGGTTCCTAGAAGCTGAATTTTAAACAACAACAACATGTGTGATGTGGAATTAAAGAGGCCAGACATGTGCAACGGATATATTCACTGCTAGGTAACAGGGGGCATCAAGGTGAAAGAAACATTTTAACACGTGTACATATACACACACATGTGCTGAAACAAATGGGTAAAGTTTCTTTCACCCTGAATGCCCCTGTTACCTAGCAGTAAATAGGTACCTGGGAGTTAGTCAACTGTCATGGGCTGCTTCCTGGTGTGTGTGTGTGTGTGTGTGTGTGTGTGTGTGTGTGTGTGTGTGTGTGTGTGTGTGTGTGTGTGGGGAAAAAAAGTAGTTAGTAAACAGTTGATTGACAGTTGAAAGGCGGGCCGAAAGAGCAAAGCTCAACCCCCGCAAGCACAACTAGGTGAATACAATTAGGTGAATACATACATTTTTCCCAAACAAACATTACTCCTCCCCCTCACCCCCCCCCCCCGACACACACACACATACACAACACCTACACCACGCACAGACACCCCTCTACACATAGACACACCCCTCCACACACAAACACCTTCCCCTTCAACACACAAACACCTTCCCCCCCCCCCCCCCCCCACATATATAGCCTCGCGGCTCAGTGGACAGCGTTCGGGGGTCGTTATCCTGAGGGCCCGGGTTTGCTTCTCGGCAGAGGTAGAAGCAAATGGGTAGAGTTTCTTTCACCTTCACCTAATGCCCCTGTTAACCTAGCAGTAAATAGATACCTGGGAGTTGTCCTGCTGCTTCCTGTGTGTGTGTGCGTGTGTTAGAGAAAGAGAGACATAATAGAGGGAACAAGTAGATCGGTTAATAAAGATTCGAGTCTGCAGGCACAAATAGTAAATACACACACACCACACACACACACACAGACACACACACACACAGACACACACACACACACCCTACACACACACCCTACACACACACACAAAACCCACACACACACACACCACACACACACACAACCCCCCCCACACACACACACAACCCCCACACCCCACACACGCACACACACCCCACACACATACACACCCCACACACAAACATAAATACCTCCGCAAGCACAACTAGGTGAATACACCCACACACACCACACACGCACACACACAGACGTCAGAGGATAACATATTGCTTGGCATGAAGCAGGCAGCAAACAGCATCATTAAGTCCAGCTACGTTCAAGTGTCTAGCCGAGAGAAACTCAGATTATCACGCTAATGAGTGTGGGAAAACGTAGCAGGCAGGGAGCAAGTGGTAGAGAACACGTAGCAGGGAACAATCGACAAGGAACAAACGACAATTAAGTGGTAAGGAACAAGAGTAAAGTCGTTAGTAGAACATCACCAATACTATGTCCTCTGTCGTCTTGCATAACAAGTGATATTTTGACGTAACAATCCCCAATGTTAAAGTAAGTTGTACTCAAACTTATAGCAGCCACCTAAATTGACGTTGTGACAAGTCAAGAGGACAGTTGTTGCTGTTTTAGATTCTGCTACTTAGAACAAAAGTTCCAAAGTAGCACGGGCTATGGTGAGCCCGTAGTGGACATACCTGGCACAGGAGCGGGGCTGTGAAGAGGACAGGCTGACTACGAGCGCCTGACAGTAAATAGCCTAATTCCACATTGCAAATTTTCCCACACTCATATTGTATTTGCAAGCAGCAGTCAGTGCGCATCTTTGTTTTGTTTTCATTTATTTACAACATTCCGTCGTGGCCTCAATACTGCATTTAGGCCAAGGTCAACTTACATCCTAGGATTAAGTCAAAGTTTCTATCACAATTGTTTTGGATATAGATGTGCTGCTGGTAATAAGCCAAGAATCAGATTCAGGTGAGCTCCTAAGAATCAGAGAGAGAGAGAGAGATTCAAGTGAGCTCCTAAGAATCAGTGAGAGAGAGATTCAAGTGAGCTCCTAAGAATCAGAGAGAGAGAGAGATTCAAGTGAGCTCCTAAGAATCAGTGAGAGAGAGATTCAAGTGAGCTCCTAAGAATCAGAGAGAGAGAGATTCAAGTGAGCTCCTAAGAATCAGAGAGACAGAGATTCAAGTGAGCTCCTAAGAATCAGAGAGAGAGAGATTCAAGTGAGCTCCTAAGAATCAGAGAGAGA